ATTAGTTTAAATTTGTGGACACCCTGTATAACATGGTAAGTTTATTATCATTGGGATATAAAATAGTATATCTTGTTACACTCCACTATAAATTAAGCTTAGCTGAAATACTTCTAAAGTATTTGATACGTGAAAATTATATTAGATTTTGTTTAATGTCGTATTATTTAAAAAACCTTAAGATTTAGGTATTATCAACCTTATTAAAACAGACACTTATTTTGTTCAGCGAATCCAAAAATTCAATAATATACAGGACATTCCATTTAAAAAAACGCAACTTTGATACCTTTAGAGCTTTTGGGAAACCCTGTACATTACAAAAATATTTTCAAAATGTGCGCTCGGTAGGCCTCGGACAATTCATAAAATACTTTTTAAAAATCAAACGGTTTAGCCGCAAACTTCCGTGCCGTATAGCGTGAATAACCCTGTAGAATAAAACATTAAATATCAATTTCATTTACGGAAAGGTCTTCACAGAGATGTCGACCAATGCTAAAGAGCGACAAACAAACCCTCTTCATTGATCTGTCTGTTGTAAAATACGAAACTCAAAACAAAAATAGAAACTGCCTCGTTTGTTCACCCCCATGTTTGCCGCTAAGAAAAATCGGAAAATCCTCCCCGTTATCCATTTTTCTCTTTGGAAGTATGCTGCAACAATCAGTTGCTTCGAACGTCCCAAGAAGACAAACCGGTCTAAGGAGCCGGGCTGATAAATTAAGGAAGCTGCAAACATGCGGCATATAAATTAATCTCCCACGCAAAATGTGTGTGGGAGCCCGAAGAAAGAACAGCATATTTGTCAGACTTTCCAGCCATAAAATATTTAAACAATTACTTGTATAAAATTTATTAAACCCTGCTTAATCTTCCATGAAGATACCGCACAGCTGTTCGTCAACCGCAAAATATTAAATCGCTTATCTGACACGATTACCGACTATCGCGATGGACCTTCGTCAAATTAAACAACTGCTAATTTTACTACCCTTGTCACTATTGTCGGGAACTTTCTTAAGAAAGGTTGCCGAAACTTGATGGGGTCAGAACTTACTTTGCAAACTCCCTAACCCGATTATGGAGACGAAAATGTAGCTTGCCCAGGCCGAGTTGCACTCCACTTGTGGATTCTCTAATGAGATTTCTTTGTTAACGTGCGCATTTGTGTTTATTTCAATACCGAGTAACTAGAGTTGCTTTTATTGAATTCTCCTTCTCGTATTTAGCGACATGTTTTTTTCGCTCCTTTGGAGTTTTTAGTTTCATTGATTTCGCTTCTGTGAGCATTGGAAAACGACGAAAGTGTATGTGTTGCTTATTTGCTCCAACCAGCCAAATTGCCAACTAATTTAAACGTATGCTAGAAGAAGACTACAGATAATGCTGCTATAAAAAATACTGATAAAGGGGGAAGTTTCTTTCATAAGTTTTTTGAACTGAACACGTGTAGTATTTTCTCAACATAATATTTTTCGGCGACCAAAACAAATTAAATTGGGAACTAGACAGAAATCACAATTTTCCATCATTTGTTTGTACTCTACATTCGGCTCCTTGATCTCACTGACGTCCAATTAAATTTGGTATCAGAGAAATTGCTTTTGGCTTTAAGCTGGAAATTATGCTCCTATTGATGTTTGTGGAATAATTTTTCCATTGCCACTCGAATCGATAATGAAAACATGGAATCAATTCCATTAAAACGTGCCGTTTATACATCATTACATCACTATTTAACCAGCACAATTCCATGAAATTTGGCAATGATTATTCATGCCAGTAGAGGATTAAATTTGAATGTGTATTGTTTGGCACACGTGGCATACACGAATAACACCGCAATAATTCTTCTTTGCTCGCGATTAAATTGGTCAGCGGTTGGAGAGCTGGCAAATTTTTTGGCCGAGAAAAAATAATGTTTCAGCACTGCAAATCCTGGAAATAATATTTCCTTCCAAGCTTTACCTAAATTAATTGGAAATGGCGCTTTGATTACCTTTGAGGGCATTAGCCGCAAAAGGGGATGGCAATAAAACCCCATTCCATCTTCTTAAATCCCTTTCTTTGCTGCACAAAGTATTTAATATTTGGGGCAAGCATCGATATGGGCGACGGAAAGATTAATTAATTTTTTCAAGCTGGTATTTCGGCCCAACTCACGCAAAACTCTTGAGTAAAGGATACTTTAAAATTGGGCTAATTAACATTAATTAATTAATTTGGCTTTAATTAACAGCATCTGATTATTCAAATTCAAATCTTGGGGCTAAATTTAAAAATGTTGGTTGTGTCGAAGGCCAGTTGGATAAAACTCTAAAATATAACCACTGTTTACATCCATTAGAAACGCTCAATCCAATATATAATAGTTAATAGTTGCTCAATCGAAGTAAACTGAGAAAATTCAAAAATCAAACTTGGTTCATCGCAATTTAGATAGCTGATAACTTCTGTTCTTGCTCAGCTAATTAATGCAATTTTTCCAACTTCCAAGCAATATTTGATCAAATAATCGGCTTTGGAGATGCTCAAGAAGAGCGCTAAGACCCAAAAAATATGTCGCCAAACATCCAGCAATTTCCGCTCGTTTCGGTGGCAAAAACCCGGATCGTTATATAATAATACAAAACCCATTTATGAATTTTCCTTTTTTTGAAACAACAACGCAAACAAAACCAAAACTTTACGTCCCGGGGCTCCATCAGAACCGCAAATAAAAAATGAGCGAATATTAATGCTCAACGGGACTTTACGGGAAATTCCAGAAAACGTAAGGCTTCCGGCGTGGTTTTTAATTAAAGTTAAACTTTCCAGTGTTGTTCGACATCGCCACAACTGCGACCGTGATAAAGTGGTAGTATTTTTAGAAAGATGGCATTCCGGAACCTTAGCGGACCAAAAAGTTTCAGCGGATTCGCTTCCTTCTGCATAAACCATTTGTTCTAAGGTTACGTTTTCGGCAAAGAAACGGCATAATGAGAACATTGTTCGAATAAGTTGGGAAACTGCTGTGTTCTGTCGGTTTTTTGGGCATCAAACTCACTCAGAACGTGTAGCAATAGTCATTATGGGTTAGAACATTTCAAACATA